AACACAGAGGACTGTTTGTATGATGCGATCACAGACACGCTGCAAACGGTGTCCACCAAAAGTCGAGTCCAGTATCTATGGAGTGTCATTTTTATTTGTTATACGAGAGTGGTATGCCGCTGCTGCATCTTATATTCAGGTGCGCCTTATAGTCCGAAAATTACGGTAGTTTGGGAAGATTGAAAATCGGTAGGGAATGCCAGCTAAGTCGGTAGGCGGTAGAAACATGTCAAAAGCGGTAGGGTTGGCAGGTATGGCTTTGATTCTTGTGACATCCTGAGCCAAAAATCATATGCATAGATATTTGTCTTTCTTGTAGCATATTTTACATTGTCTTTGTCTTCTGTCCCTCATGATCTGCCATGAAAGACATTTTGAAGATGTGTGAACAATCAGTTTTCCACACCTTCACTGACCTCTTCACTTCTGTGCAGTAACTTTTCCAGCGAGGCGAGCCAGGCCGGCATGTTCGGACCTCCGAGCCAATCAGAAGCAGCCGATGCAGCGGCAGGAGGCGCCGTCCCCACCCCTTCTTCTTCGTCTTTGTCCTCCTCTCCTCCATCGTCCTCCACTTCAGCCTTTTGCCCCGTCAACTCCGCCTCCCCCGCCTCCTCTTCCTCTTCCTCCTCCTCCCGACAGATCGTAGAGCGCCAGCCCCGGATGCTGAACTTCAGGGTGGAGTACCGGCAGCGCACGGTGGACCTGGTGCTGGAGGAGGGCAGCACAGTCGGTAAACCCCACACCATCTCTGTAAACATTGAGAATAACAGAAATCAAACTGTATATAGTACATTTTCTCTGTGAATCTGTTTTACAGGAGAAATCAAAACAATCCTCGAGACAGAGCTCGCGGTTCCAGTGTCCAAAATGCAGCTGAAGGGATGGAAGAGCGGAGATGTTTCCGATACCGTGAGTTTACACGCCCTTTAAACGCTAACACATCATTAAGAAAAAAAGAATTTAACTGAACCTACACACGTTCATATTTTCAATTGTTTGCAATTTGAGTTTATTATCTGTGTTTTAATCCAAATACATTTGATTATGTTTACATAAGGCGCTTTCACACCAAGTACTTTGCCGTACTTAGTTCCCAGTACTTAGTTCATCAGAACTCTTTAGTTCTCATGAACTAAGTACAGATCGCGTTCACACTGGAATAAGTCCCTGAGGGAGGATTAGGCAAATGAAGCCGCTGACATCACTTCTTCTTCTTCTGCTTTGGGTTTACTGGCAGGCCGCAAACAACTTCACGGCGTATACTGCCACCCGGAGTCCCCGGCCGGAAGTCCCCGGAGTTTGGGACTGGCTTCAGTCGAAGCTGCTGGGACTCTCAGCAGCTTCTACTGAAGCCTTCAGAGTAAATCACCAGAACGCCGACACCTCCTCATCTCCACCGCTCCCATGTTTTCTTTTGTGTTGCCATAAGTTAGTCTCTCTCCGTCTGTGCGCTGGGCCAATGCTAATGCTAATAATGCTAATGCCAGCAAATAAAATGGCGGCTTCACAAAACTTTTCCGAGTTTTACGGGGCGTGGTTTGCAATCCGCCCAGCCAATCAGAAATTGGAACCTTTTCCTCCCTTTTCAGTCCCTGCTCTCTAGCAGGGACTAAAAAGGGGTGAAAAGGTTTGCAAAAAAAAGTTCTAGTTCCAGATCTTTTCGGTGTGAAAGAAAAATCCCAGGAACTATCGGAACTATTCCTGGGAAAAGTACTCCGGTGTGAAAGCGCCTATTGTTAACGTTTTTAAAGTTTTTTATTTATTGACTTATATCGTCAATGCAAGTGCTTTGTTCAAAAATACAAATCACCTTGTTTTTACATACAGTATAAATACAACACATCAAAGAAGCCAGCTTCTAGCATGCCTAAAATACAAAAACATGTTTTGTTACATATCAAAAATATATATAAAAAGCTGGCAAAGATTCCTTTCTAAGCAGCATCTGTGGCCAAGTAAAAATCACATCACTGATCCTCACGGCCGTATATTACCCGTTACCAAACAATTAGTCCAATTTGATTTACCTGAAAACAATATTTCCACTTCCAATGAAGAAGTTGTTCTCAGTTCTCTCATAATATTCTTTAGGAGATGAAAGAAGTATACATTCAGATGTAGTGAGAACACATGTATTCCCTCAACTAATCATCATCTTCACAGCCAGTCATTCTTAATGAGTTGAATCTTTAAGTTGTATTTGTGTGTGTGTGTGTGTGTGTGTGTGTGTGTGTGATCAGACGGTGATGAGAAGTTTACACCTGCCTAAGAACAACAGCCTGTACGTCCTGACCCCAGAGATCGCCCCTACTGCCGGCACCAGCACCAGCAAAAACAGGTACACAACTCTCACTTTGGTTTTCATTTCTTATCTCATAATTTAAAATCCTCCGCTAAGGCAAGGCAAGTTATTTATAAGGCACGTTTCAATAGAAGGCAACACAAATGACCTTGAAAACACATTAAAAGTATTCAGATATAGTGCAACAAAAACACATTTAAAATCACATTTAGATACATTCAAAAATAGTCTTTAAAGGTCACCTATCATGCTATTTGTAGGCAATAGCATAGGTCTCAGATATATAAAAAACATCTATGAAGTGTTTTGCTCCAAATACCAAACAGATCACCCGTTCTAGCCATGCCTCATATCCCTCTATTGCACTTCCTGTTTCATAAGTGATGATTTGGGATATAAAGCTTTAAAAAAAATAAAAAGGAGGGGGCGGAGCTTATGCGGGACCCGGCAGCTACTGTCTAAACTAAATACTGCCGTGATGATAATCCATGATATGGCGTTTCATCACGGCAGTATTTAGTTTAGACAGTAGCTGCCGGGTCCCGCATAAGCTCCGCCCCCTCCTTTTTATTTTTTTTAAAGCTTTATATCCCAAATCATCNTACACCTGAACATCAGCAGGAGAGGACTCTTTAAAGTAGAGACACTACATACTGATATACACCTGAACATCAGCAGGAGAGGACTCTTTAAAGTAGAGACACTACATACTGATATACACCTGAACATCAGCAGGAGAGGACTCTTTAAAGTAGAGACACTACATACTGACAATGAACATATGTCCTCTTTAACTTGCCTTACTTAGACTGTGTATGTGAGATGAAAGCATGTAGAAAGTTAGTGTCCCACAACCAGGAAAACATAATGATTATTATTGTATTGAAACACCATCAAAAGTTAGGAAGTAAACCCAATTAGTGACCAGGATGAAGTAGAGAAAAGAAAATGAGGAAAGTAAAAAGAAGCCATCTGTAGTAGCCATTGTAGTCCTTCTTTCTGCTTTGTTATTATGCAATACAACTTGCTTTAACACAAACAAAATGAGACTACAGTGGCTTTATCTGTGGGTTTTAACCCTAACCCTGATGACATGTAATAATGGTATAGATATTGGTGTGGGTATATGAAGGGAGGCTTGCCTGAGAGAGGTCCAGATCTACCTATCCTGATGGTCATCTCGTCAGAGTCCAGGTGTCCGAACGACGGCTCGTATGCTTTCTCTTTTTGCAGCTTAGCATCGGGGGGCAGAGCCAAAGAAATGTGGGGGTCGGCACCTACACCCTGTGGAAGACAGAAAATATAATTAAAACACATTCACAGGCAAACACTTGATCTTTGAAGTCACTTAGATTCGTAGTTCTGTCAGGGAAATTCTCCAAATGTAAAAATAAGCTCCGATGTGACTGTACGTTCTTAGAAATAGCAACGAAAGTGGATTGATGTTCAGTCGTTTTTTAAGAGAATACTAAAGATCGGTTCAAGATGTTGTCAAAAAGATATCTTCATTTTAGAAATTATAAAAGAACTTTGTCTGTGTGTGCACAATCACTTAAGAGTTATGGTTTAACGGAACAAATGTAGAAAAGGTCAGAGAATTATATTTTGCATTATTTTATTTTCAATATTCTATTTGTATTGCTTTCTATTATTTTGGAATATACCCTTTTTCTTCAAATGTAAAGTGTCTGGATCTTATTTGTTTACTATTTAGTTTTGAATACCCTGGTTTCTTGGTATTTAAAATGAATAATTTTTCAATTGTTTTGTTTTAAATGTTCGGCTAACATTTCCGTACTTTGTTGTCATTGTGAATTACACAAAATGTGTTGTTTTGTTTGTTTACGCTTGTTGTGTTTTGTGTTTAAAGTGTGTTATTGTGTGTTTGAATGTATACGTGTGGACCCGAGGAAGAACAGGCGATGCTAATTCTAATTCACAGCATAACGTTAAAATATAGATTTTGATAGCGGAATCTTTTGAAGAGACGGCAGGATAAAACTGGATCCACATTAAGTCCCTTATCGTGTTAGTAGACTGAATACATATCGCACCATGCAGACAGATTGCATAGAAAGCACAGCCCCGTTTCGCTTTAGCAGTCCAATGATAGTCCATCAGGCGCTGTGTTTTAAAAGGTAAGCTGTTGTCTGCATAAGAGATAGAAAAGTAAATTAACTCCTGCAGCACGTCCTTCTGAACACAATCAAACCCAACATGAAACGTCATATTGCGCCTCTGAAAGGAATTTAAATGCAAATGAAGCTTCCTCAGACATGCACAGCCATACTTGCAAACCTTGAGACCTCAGAAATCGGGAGCATTTCAAAATGCAAAATGGGGGGGNCATGGATTATCAAGGATTCTCTCTGAAACAGTATGGAGCTCAAAGGCTTTCTCTCTTGCCGGTTATACCACAAGGTGGGTTCCTTTTTATTTCCTGCTTCTTCACACACATGCTCTCCAGTAAAGGTTAGCTCTGAGTGTTAGCGATGCTAATGTAAACACCGACCATATTACGTCCAAAACAGTCGGTTGCTGATTGGCTAATGGTTACTCAAGACAAAACATCGTTATGACATCATAAAGTGGCCAAAATCTTATCGGCTCATTTTCAGACAGGTTTTTATAGAAATGGATCAAAAAGAGAGAGAATCTTTGTTCCTGAAACTTTCAGAGTCTCTTTCCACAGAGGGGACACATGTTGATGGAGAAGAGACATGAGGAAGAGCGGACACATGTTGATGTAGAAGAGACATGGAGAAGAGGGGACACATGTTGATGTAGAAGAGGGGACACATGTTTATGTAGAAGAGACATGAAGAAGAGGGGACACATGTTGATGTAGAAGAGACATGAAGAAGAGGGGACACATGTTGATGTAGA